GTCTCTTGAGACTGAAGGATGCTTATGATGCTCTGAGTTTAAAGGTATGGTCTACGATGGGGTGGAGAACCCATGATCCTCCAGGTGGTTACACTGATGAGGGGTGCCAAGAGTTGTGGTGCAAAATTGTCTATAGTAGCATGTCCCTTACTCTTGGTAGCAAGATGCTTCTACTTACAGTCTATAACAGTGATGGCAAACCTATGGCACATATGCCATAGCTGGCATGCAGAGCCCTCTCTGTGGGCACACGAGCCATGAGTTTCCATCGGGAAATGCTTACCAGTCCTCCGATCCTGGATTTCAGCATGCATATATGCTGGTGCAGTGCTCCAGTGGAAGGATGCAATGGTGGCCTGACGGGGGATTGGAGGACTGGTATGTATTTCTCTGTTAATATCATCCTTCGGGGGGGGGGGAGGAGAGACACTAGCATTTAATCCTTGTAGTGCAGGGGCAGTTGTTTTTTCTAAACTAAAACCTCAGTATTCAGGTTTAATTGCAGTGTTGGCACTTTGAAATAAAGAAGTTGGTTTTGTGTTGCAGTTTGGGCACTTGGGCTCAAAAAGGTTCACCATCACTGGTCTATAGACTTTTAGGAATAAATTGTCTGGAAATGTCACAACTTAAAATTCATGTAGATAAAGGTAAGCGACCCAAACCATAGGTTGGAATCCTATAAAACCACATCTGACAGGAAGTTCCACTGAACATACTGGTTGTTCCAATTATACATGCATAAGATTGTGCTGTTCATATGACAGGCATCCTGTTAATTTCCTCAGTACCAGCAGTTTCTCAGACTGGTAATATATTTCTCAGATAAAGACGCCTTTGATTATAGATCTTCTTCTCCAGTATATATGACCATGTAATTCTCTTGCAGTCCTGCAATAAAACATATAATCATTGAGGCAGATGATGTAATGTTTGAGCATACATGGCTTACGTATATTCTGAATGAATATTTTAATTCAGGATGCCATCTATTGCCCTAGTCCAAATAAGGTTTGCACATGGAAGCAGCATTCTACAAACACAGCACAATCAACAAAGAAGATGGGCCATCTGGATAGGCATAGCAATGCTTATGCTTGCCTCATTGTGCTGACTGGATAATCTCTGTTTATGCAAACAGGCGTGCACTTCTGCATTTTGGGCTACTATTTGTATGAGGTGTTACTTGCCTGTGATGAACAGCATGACAGCACCCCAAGATTTTCAATTGAACTTTTGATATTCCCCTTTGTGTGTGTGCGTGCGTGCGTGCGTGTGCGCACGTGTGTGTGCGCGTGCGTGCGCGCGCACGCATCCAACTGAAATCATGCTAATTTAGGAGAGTATGTCTGGCCTATTACCCACCCCTACCCTTTAAGACCAGATGTGTAGGACAGAAGGGTTCTTGTGCCCTTGCACTAGCATAGAACAAGCCATTTCTTTGCCCAAAGTGACCATTCCAGTATATCTGCTTATGCTTATCACACAGCTGGCAGGGAACAGCTGGAACACTAACAAAACTGAGGGAGGTTTGTTTGTTACATCACTAACCTTTATGTGTATGCAGTCTGAAGCATGACATCTGTACAAAGTATATCAAAATTTTGTTTGCTATAATTTTTGGATTAAACTATCATTGATATCGTTCAGACCTATGGGGAATGGTTATGTTTCACCCAATGCAAACAAAACAATCGAAATATATCAGGTGTCTTCCACCCTACCTTCAGCTATATCCAAGAAATAGCTTTGGTATTCCAGCTGCTGGGTGACTTGTGCCAGGAAATGGCCAGGCAGAGTGTAGCCCTGCTGATTCTCTTTGTCCCCTCGGTACCACCAACCATGATAGCTTTCTGGATCATTTATGTTAGTTGCATCTGGGATGCATCTGTAGTTCTGGTCATTCCTGGAAGAAGAATCTCCTGGGTAGGGTAGTTGCAAGATTGGCCAGCAAAGAGGGTAAATGTTAGTAAAAAAGGCTTACAAAATCCTTAAGTGAAAAAAAGGTACTTATCAGTTGCAAGATTGGCCAGCAAAGAGGGTAAATATTAGTAAAAATGTCTTACTAAAAAGGTACTTATCAAATGCAAATCTAGCAGAATATCATGGTCTGAACACAAATGCTTTATTCTATTATGTGTGCTGAGTTTATATTGGAAAAAGACACATTAAAATTGGAACTAGATAGCCAATCCCATACTTACCTGGGGGCAAGCTTCACTAACCACTATATATCTTTCTTCTGCATAGACACACATAGGTTTCTATAGTGAAAATGATATCATGTTACACCAGTGATGAATAGGTTTCTATAGTGAAAATGATATCACGTTACACCAGTGATCAAGACTTCCTATAATAAAACTTTTCACAGCACTCCTGTCTGGAGTCATCCAGATGTTTTGGATTACATGCTGATTTATGACGATGATGATACTGGTAGCTCAACACACCTAGAAAGCACTAGTTTAGGAAAGGTGGATATAATCTGTCTGATGGGGGATCATCAGCAATGCTGTAAGTAGGGTTTTGCCCTGGGTCATCAAAATTTAGAAAACACTGAATTCTAGAGCTGAATTGACTAGGAAATGTTGAGGGGGGGGCAGGGGAAAACACTTCCTGGCCCTATTCATTCATTCATTCATTCATTCATTCATTCATTCATTCATTCTTCATTCAATCTCTCTCTCTCTCTCTCTCGCTCTCATATACTTTCTCTTTGTTTTGAGAATATACTAAATTCTCCTCCTGCTTTTTCAAATGGGGGCTCGTGCTCATGCTTCAGGGCAAAGTGGAAGAGAGATGGTGCCATTTGCCCTGTGTAACCAAATGGCTAGTTACAGCTCAGATCAACAGCATTCGTATGCCAAGGAGTCAATGGCTCCTTCATTTCCCCCTAATCTTGAGCCATCCAGACACCCTCCCATATTTGATGGTTACAACTGCTATCCATGGGCAACTGCAGGCTAGGACCATGTGTGATGATTTTCCACTGGAAAGCATGTAAAGTGCCCATATACTGTATATTCAACTGTAGGAAATATTAAGTAATAGGAAACTCTATAATATCTGTAGCAGAATTATTTTCTGTAACTCTTAATAGGTATCTGGAATTCAAAAACCATCAGATACCCACATGAATATTTGATTGGTCCCAAAAGGCTAATAAACACCCTTCTGTTTAAAGCCAAAAAAAGGGAAAAGGGGAAAAAGGTGATACCATGGTCCCTCAAAGGAAGGAAATTTAGACCACAGATTAAGGCCTGCCATTGTCACACAACACATGGTCACATCTAGGCACCTTTCTTCCACCTAAACCTCCACCCCAAATATACACAACTGAGATCCATTCTTGACTCCTTAGAGATTAAAAAAATCTCAGCTTATCTAGAGCTGAGTCCATTTAAAAAACCAAGACTTCCTTCCCCAGTGTGGATCAATTGGATTGGGCAGTAAAGATGCACTCCTTACTATGCTAGAAAATACCGTTTACCAAAGTCTTGCATGTCCCCCCACCTGAATGAATCTTCAAGTGCAAAAAGTCACAATAAAAGCAAGAGCTCTTCATTTGTTTATGGAATGTCATTCCCTCCCTATAAAGCAATACAACTTTAAAGTGTGGCTGGCATTTGTTATCAGTAACGGGAGAGACTGACTTGCTGGCTAAAGACAAAATTAACTTCCCACCTCTATACGAGAGCCAAAAATCTAATTGTCCCTCTCTTGAGTACAGAGATGCTGCCCGTTTTCAATTATATCAGGAAACCTAGGGTTATGATTTAGTAAGCAATCCAAATAAATAAGCCTTGCAACCAACAGAGTGTCTAACTGCACTAACATGTTAGCTAGTTCAGCTGTTCTAAGGAAGTTGTGTAGTATGAGCATGGGTGTGCAAATTTCCAGGTTTCAAAAAGGTACTGGTGTGAACAAGGGAGGGGGGGTCCTTTGCTTCCACTCTGTAACCCCATCCTTGAAGGACCTGCTTTCCTTGGCCTTTCACCAGATTAGCATTTGATGAAGAAGCGGGGGGGGGGGAGGAAGATAGGGTGCTCTTCAACCTCTGTTGAGGTGGAAAGACTTATTTTCTCTCTAGTATCCAGCTGTTCCAAGTCCTCCATACAGAGCATGTTACCATAGTCTTTCGAGACTGAAGGATGCCTAACCATCCAGCCAGGATCTCCGTCTACTTCTCCCTTGCTTTCTCTTCCTCACTCAAGTAAACAAGATACAAGATAGGGACGCTTAAGTTCCACAGAGGAGAAGGGGACGTGGAAATACCTCCTCCCCTTGATGAAGGAGGCTGCTCTGTCCTCAAGCTGACGCTCCTGGGCAGCCCTTAGGTCTTCCCTGCAGCCCAGGGTCCCGTGCAGCTGGACTGAAGGAGGGGAGGCAGGCAAGCAAGCAAGCAAGCAGTTCCTGTAGCTCTCCTCACGCGGGGAAGCAAGAGCCCTCTGGTGCTCCCTACTCTTTTCCCAGCTTCAACCCTTTCGGAAACGGTCGTGCAGAGGCAGGCATGTGAATAATTAATCGAGCCTTCAGAATCACAATTCCAGACTTCTTTTTAATTTCCTTTCTTGCTTCGCCACTGCCACCCCGATTGCTTTTTGTCCCTTCCCCCTTCCTTTTGGCCCCCCCCCGCGCCATCACTGTGTCTCCCTTTGCATCCCGCCCATCCTCCGTGGCCCCCGGCTGCAGGATGACCGTGAATCTCCCTCAGCCCCGCCGCACTCGGGAGCGCACGGCCGCTGCTCTCGAGCGAACAAGGAGTTCAGAAAGAGAGAGAGAAAAAACCCCACCTCCCTCCCCGCCACCACGGAGAGAGACTTTGACGGACGAGTTCAGCCTCCGTTTCTGGAGGAGGGAAACAAACGTCTCTGAACTCCAGTCACGTTTGATGGAGCCAGAAGCATGCGCACAAGCGGAGCGAGGAGCTGTCCAAGTGCTGAAATTTATAGTCAGTGTGTAAGATCACGGTCCCCCCCACCCACCCCCGTGCGCGCCACCTCGCCGCGCTTTTCTCCCTGGCTCGCTCTCGCTCGCTCTCATTCCGGCACAGGGAGCGTAGCTTATTTTTTTTGGGTAGCCCATCACCGATCGTACGTTTCCTATATACAGTATTTACAAGTGGCTGATAAGGGAAAAGGTGGAAGGCAAACAGCCTCTCCCCCCGTTTTCACCAGGCTCGCTACGAATCCCGAATTGTAGCCTTCAGGGAAATAAACCCAGCTCCTGAAGACAGACCAACGTGGCAGCCGTATACCTATTTGCATGATGTTAAGGTAGAGAAGGATTGGGGTTCGAGGGAGGATTCAGTTCTTGGGTAAGAAGCGCAGATGCTTTGTGCCTTTTCTGTTTGCTGCTTGGGATGAGCTTGGATCTAACCTGACCATGATTCCAAGAACTGGTACTTTTGATTTTTTGCCATCACTGGTATATACCAATGCAGGTCTTTTCTTTCTGATTTTAAAGAAATATAAATTATTGTTGGATCTGGGAATTTAGGCAAGATATAGTACTTTCTGACACTCATCACCCCTCCCCTTTGCCTGCCACTGGAATCGTTTCTGGAATATTTTTTCCACATTCAGCGGAGAAAACAGAAGGAATGAACCGACAGCTGGTGAACATTTTGACTGCCTTGTTTGCCTTTTTCTTAGAAACTCACCACTTCAGGTAGGTGAAATCATTAATGATCTGTAAGCTTCCCTTCAAGGGGCAAGGATTTAAAACTATACAGAGACAGCGCACCGTAAGCCTGACTTGTTTTGCTGACTCTGTAAATATTTCATCCAAAATAAAGTGAGGGGATTTTCTATTTGAAAAGAGTTGTTGTCCAGGAATTATTAATTTTTTAAAATATATATATATATATATGCAAATAATTGTTTCATACACATTGTTTTCTTTAGATTCCATTGCTTGCATATTATGAAACTGAAAATATTTGTCCACATTGGTGGAATTATCCCTGCGCTGTACCTTTGAAATCCATTAAAGCATCGCCTCACCTTGCTGTGTAGGAGGAGTGGAATCAGCTTGTGTCTGAAGACAGAACACTCAAGATAACTTAAAATGCATTAGTTTTCCTTTAAAACATGTTAACCATCTTCTTGCACTATGCATAATAAAGGTAGTTAAAGGATGGTAAAGGGAGAGGATTTCCATGCCATTTAAGTACCCACTCATATATGATCTGCCAATAGCGTTTCATGTCAGTGACTATGAATAAGGGAATGGATGTTGGTAGCTGTTTTGGATTAACATGGGTAATGATATGATTTCATGTATGTGGCACAAAGTGAGACAGATCTTTGCTTGTGGGAAAAAATCTAAAAAGAAACCGTTGCTTCCACAAATTCTAATTACTTGATGGGAGATCTCTAGGTCTGCTCAACATGCATAGGCCATATTGTTGCACACTTTGCATGAACAGTGAGTGGGTGAGAGTCAAATTGAAAAATCAGTGCTGTAGCTTAGTTTTAGGTATATAGTTGTTTAATATATGATGAGAAAGGTATGTAGTATATGTATGGGAAACAATGTATAGAAGAAGCTCAAAATATGAAATAAGGTGCAATTGAATTTGTTTTTAAGCAAGTGCAAACTGTTTATTACTGCCTATAATAACTATTCAACCATTGCTGCTTAGTCTATTAATCAGGCAGCACTAGCCCCTCCCCCTTGTCATTTTTTAAAAAGTGTTGCCCTGTGTAGCAATATTTAACGTGAAAATCAGATGTGACACATTAGAAAAGTTGATGAAGTTATAACATGTTGCTCCTTTAATGTGCAGAAATCAGGAATATTTGTAGACTTTCAGTTTCAGGTAACATATAAAGTATGTGAGAATAGCTTGATGTGTTATAGAGTCACAATAAATATAACATTTCCATTTATTTTTCTTTTGGGGATCTCTTGTCATATTTAATTGGTTTTATTGCTCATTTTAAAATAGCAGAAGAAAATTGCAAAAAGTTCTTTTATGATTATTTCAGAATATTATTTCTAATCTGCGTTAGATGGTTTATTTAAGAAGGTGTCAATTAAGGTATATAGTTTTGGCAAGATGGAATATATCAAGCTTTGTTAAAGAGTGTTCTTTATGATAGAATTAATTTCCTTCTGGTTTAGATTTTTTTTTCTTTTCATGTGTGCCTTCTTACTTGTTTTGTAGAGGGTTGCCTAAGATTTTATAAGCAGAAAGCTCTGGAAGCATGAGAGCACAATTAACACTTAATAGGATAAAAATTGATATGGATGTTGCAGGAAAGGGCCATTATCCATGCTTCATCTGGGCTGATACAAAATTAAAACCCTCACATCTCTGTTTCCCAGAGGAAGTAGACAGAATTGGTGGGGAATCAAGTCATTTAATTAAAGCATAATGAGAATTATAATGTTTCAGTGTTTTTATATTGTTCCGGATACTAACAAAGGTTCTTAAATGCTGCATGATAAATTTTGCCATTCAGTTTTTCAAAGCTTCTGTCAGTGTAACAGGTAAGGCAGAGACAGGTCCGGTGGACTATGCTGGACATAAATCATGAGCTGCAATGATAAATGTTCTTTGAAAATAATGTAGTAGAAGCTGAAATTGAACTGAAACCCTTGGACATTTTTGCCTGCTTCATGGAAATTGTGATGTTCTGATTTTTCTACACTTGAAAAGTGCACCGATATAACTAGAATGTATTCCTTCTATGATCAACATGTTGTATTAGATCTCACCTGTGGGAATGATATGTGAACAATGAAAAAATAATTGCTAATTGTTGCTAATAATTTTTGCAGGATGACTTTCTGTAAAGAACATGATTCGAGGTCTGGAAAATCCCCTGCACTGACACTGTCTCCTTCAGACTTCTTAGATAAACTGATGGGACGGACATCAGGTTATGATGCAAGAATAAGGCCGAATTTCAAAGGTAAGGCCTTTCTGAATCCACTGAAAATTGATTTGTAGAAGTGAGATAAATGTACATGAACGTTATCAGATGAATTGCACTCAGTCAGTATTCCTCAGTCTTGTGGCCTCCAGATTTTCCAGACTACAAGTTCTATCATCCTTACCACTAACCATATACAGTAGGGATAATGGGAATTCTAATCCAAAAATCTGGAAGGTGCTAGGTTGGTAAAGTGTGCTCTAGGTTTAGACCCTTAGGTGGCCATGTTGTCAAAAACATGCCCACCTCTCAGCAATTATACAGGAATTTTGCATGTGTGAAGGTCTATCACGGATCAAACATCACAGACGCATGTATGTGTCATATGACTTTATCATTCCTCAGATAAAATACTTTATAAAAGCTGAAATAATTCACACATACTGTTGTGAGTCATCAGGACCTGCTCCATAGCTATATTTGATTACACACAGCTGATCCCTGCACAGTTGCCAAGTGCTGTGTAAGTGACATTTAGCCAAAAATAATTGTCTTGATGTGATGTCAGGGTATTGTCTGTGATGTTAGATATGTGATGCCCCATGCGCCCCTGGATGCTGCAGTTCTCAAATGATAATCACACATGTGTGAATCAGTGCCAGCTGTTCAGTAATCAAACTATGCATGAGCAGCTGTAAACTGGCCCTTAGCTACACTGCTGTTGATGACTCTTATCTTAACTCTGTGGAGCTTTGTTAATTTCAACAGGTGGCTAACTGCATAAATCTAAAGGAGTGCAGTAGAGTGACCCCATCTGTACGCAGAACAATGGTCAAGAATAGTGCTTTGATTATATTTAGTTGATGTATAATTCCTCTACTAGTTTGCCTGTAACTAAAGAATTTCAGGAGAGTCTTGCCTCTGAATCAGAGAGACAGCCTTCTTGATTCTGGATCTCTGGCTGTGAAACGTTTTCCCTGCCGAGGTGCAAATGGTACTGATACCTGTATTGGTTCAGTGCCAGTTTAAACTCCTTTTATTTGCAAAGGTATTCTAACTGGCTGATTTGGTCTCTTTTAAATTCTATCTGGCTCTTTTCTTTATTTTCCTGAACATTATGCATTTCTGTGTTTATTATTATTA